CACATGGATAAGACCCTTCCCTTGTGCTAGTACTGTACTTAACAGCAGCTTGCAATCTCTTGTAAGGAAATTAGAAGAAAGTTGCTTAGTCTGCATCCACAAATCAGATACTTCTGCAGGAAGCAGACCGTTTTCTATCAAGATACAGTATTTCTCACTGAACTCTGGTATGGCTACATTTTTTCCTCCAGACAACTGTCACATCGAACCTATGTTAGTTTGCAAAAACATTCTGAATTGTCAGTGCATTGTGGTAACTGATGATTTCAGCAATAAGATTTTAAACATTCTGGTACCTTTTTAATTAGCATGCCCATGTTATCAAAGCCCAGTACACAAGTACTGATTGATTTGGCAATTTCTTCCTGTACAAATGAAATGAAAAGTGTAACTGAGCCAAACAGGCAAGGGAAACAGTGTAATTCATGAAAAGAACACAAAAGTGATTGCCAGTTTTAGAAACAGGGCATTGAGCTAGATTACCAATTATTTTCATAAGCATGAGCAGAACAAAAAGAAATGCTTTAAAAAAGTCATCTTACATGAGACAAACTCACAAACCTATTACTTGCACAAAGAAAACCCAGAAAACACATTAAGAGAACAGAAAGTAAAAGGTTGTAGATTTCTATGAATAATGCAATTCTCCAAATCATGTTCAGCAAAGCCAGGTATGTTCAGAACTAAGCCTAATTTTATAGGTTAGGAATTTAAAGCATCCAAACAATTAATTATGTCCTATATTAATTACATTCTTACAGTCTTTGTGAAGCAGCTGGGGAGTTAAGGAGGCACTAACTGCACTCACTGAATTATGTTTTTTTTTTAGTGGGTGCAAAAAATTGCAGGTATAAGTCAATTACAAAATTGGGTTTTCTTCCTAGCTACAAAAGCTGATGCTTAGTGCTGTGTGACCACTTAACAGTCTTGTGCTTGACTTCAGGGAACACGTGGCGACTCTCCTTCTCACATATTGAAAAGGAAATGATAAACAACCACGGCAACTCAAAGACATGCTGTGAATCCAATGGACGAAAGTGCTGTAGGTTGGTATTTCACAGGAATATTTTTCTTTAAGCCTGTGTGAGCTGAGCTAGCACTGTTTCAGTTTAGCACTTAAGAATTTGATCTAACAGTAATTACTCATAATAGGAACCTTTTAGGCATAATTGTTCTACAGTAATATAACACTGCATGTTGTTGCAGTGCTTGCTGAATGTCTGATTTGCATTTACCTAATGAAAGGTAGAAACAATCACATTGCTGGTTTACACTCCAGAATTGCCTTAGAATGCAAAAAGATGTGACATATGCAATTATCTTTCCCAAATTCAGTCCTGTTTAGGAAAAAAAGCTTTAAAAATTGACCAACTCCACTTTCTGAGCAAAACTGCACTTCATATGAAGGCAATTTCTAAATTGATGGTGAGAAAACTGCTGAATGAGATCAAGATGCATAAATGATTTTTCACTTCCATGAGAACTGTTTTCCAGATTTCTTCAACAAGGAAGAACAAAACCCACATGAGGTACAAAGCCTCCTTAACATGTAAACTAAGAAGTTGGTTTACCAATTACATCTTGTACTGAAACAAGAAAGCCACAAGGGAATTAATGCATAATTGTGTTTAAATATGTGATCTACATATTTAGAACCATGGAGAAGGTACCTATTTTTTTTTTTTCTTTTTTTTAACAGGAAAGGTTGTCTAAAGCTGCTGAAGTTTCTTCTAGAGCAACTTAAAATGAAACATCCAAAAGAATTGGAAAAATTCTGTTCCTATCATGTCAAAACTTCTTTTCTCCATTCCTGCATCATGTGGCCAAATGACACAGACTGGCATTTGGAAAACCTGGATCATGCCTTTCAGCAGTGTCTGGGATTTTTTGTGGATTGTCTGCAAAAGTCTCAGCTAACTCACTTCTTTATTCCCCAATACAATTTACTCAGCCTAGAAGATAAGGCAAGACATCATTTCCTTTCAAGAAAAATAAGCCATGAATTAAACAATGGATTCCCAGTATTTCATGAGAATTATAAAGAACATTGTTCACAATAGATATCTAATCATGTTGACTTGCATATTTGAAAGAAAAAACTGCACAATAAACAACACTTCAGTAGTCTGTACTACAAAACCCAAAAAACCCAAACCAAAATAAAACCAAGACCACTAAGAGAAAAATGTATATACTTCAGTCACACTGCTTAGCCATAACACTTAAAAGAAATGTTTTAAATAATATTTACCTTGCCTATCCAAATGTGAATGTCACCTGCAAGATATCTTCAAGGTACACTAAGAACATATAGAAGAATTTGCAATAGTTAACTCCTCACATGTAATTTCTATGTTTCCAAATATAAAGGCATAAATGACTGCATAAAGGGAAAACTAATAATTTTATTTAAAATTAAGATCTACTGCAGAATATCAAAAATACACTCCTACTTTCAAAAGAAAAAAAAAAATAAAGTCACTGGAGTTACTTCGACATTAACCAGAACAACTTCTTCAGATTACCTATGTGGATATGAAGATCTTTTGCAGAAGACAATCACCAGCAACAGTTAACAGAAAATATTTTATCTGAGTAATATGAAGTTCCTGAACTTATCCTTTCTGAGTCTTCAGAATTACTTTAGAAATCAGTCTCTTCATTGGGCTTTGGATAGGAAACTATCCTAATAAGCTGCAACAGAGTAGATGGCTTTCTGCCAATGAGCATATATTTGTATAACGAATCATGTAGAAAGACATGTATCTTTCAACCTGTATCAAAGAGGAAGACTCTTGATATAAAAGGTTTTCAAAACCAAAATGCAGCATGAACTGGACACTCCTGAAAGTGAAATCGATATCAATTTTTCTCATATTGAAGAAATGTTTATTAGGAAAAATAATGATAATGTTTCCTATTACTAAAATTGTGCAGGTGAGAAGTACACAGCATTTGAAAACTGCTGTGCTGCAAATAAATACATCTTTTGCTTCTACTTATAGAAGCCATGGGAAATCCGTACTTTTAGTCTACTTAGGAAGGCAAAATAATCTACTGCCTTAAATAATGCCCAGAGATTTACCTCAATTATGAGCAAATTAAGAGGGAAGAGTATTTAGAGAATAATTTTACTAAGAAATTATAATTTTACTTAATTTTGTTTATTAGTTTTTATTTAATCATATGACATGTAAATAAACACAAGTTCAGACCAAGCATCAAATGAAGGAATAACTCCTTCCCATATAAATTTCAAAGTGTAGAAAACATCCCCATTATCACTGGGAGTCTGTCAGACAGAATCTGACATCTAAATGTAAAGTGTGAATCAACTTTATCTGGAAATAAAAGCTGACCTTCAAATGTATTCTTTTCTCCATGACTTTGTTAACATTTCTCTAGCAAATTCTGGTTTCATTCCTTAAGCTAGAATATTACATCCACAAAAACAAAGAGCAGGTTTTATTCCCCAGTTAGCCACAAGCAAGTACTTCCTGTCATGCTCTCCTCCATTACAAGAAAATGCAGACCTCTCTCAAAAAATCTTGGGCCACAAGTCTTAACAAAAATGACCTCCAATGTTACATTTTAAAATAAGAATAAAGAAAACTTGCTTCAGCAAACATAAGCAATGGCAAACAGAGCAGTTTTCGTTATCATGAGAAATCCTGCATGCCAGCAGCATATCAAGGCAAAGGTAGAGTATTTTGAAACTACATTGACAAACGTTGCTTACAATGAATAATCTGGTTCTCTGAATATAAAAAGAAAAATTATCTTTTACATTCTTATATTGTAATACTGCATTTAACAAAAAAAAGCCCAAACCAACAAAGCCACAATATTTGTTTTTAACCAGTAGATAATTGCTTCAGAAGTTTCATAAATCAAATAAGAAAAAAAAAATTATGTGAAAATAGTGTCCAAGTGCAAAACCAGAATTATTCCTATATGAAGTTAATCCAGTTTTCTAAGACACTTTTGAGAAGTTTGTTTAAATAGGACAGGTACGGCAAACAAACACAAAATGAAACAAATTCAAGACTATGGAAGTTAACACTAATTAAAATCACTTTCTCTGTTTCAGTAGCTTCAAGGCATTACACTTATTTTGAAGACTTTCTCCAAGGTCTTTGTATATCCTTTTCAATTTCTTTTCTCATTTGTGATTGTTTGTATCTTTCCGCCATTGCAATAAGCTCATCAGGAACTACCTAATAAGAAAGCAGGCAAAAAAACAATGTGAATTTTAAATAAATCTAAGCTTTCAGACTCTGCTTTATGAAAATGCTATTGATTTCCCAAACTTGATTTCATTATTTATCTGGTTCCTGTCATTTTGCAGATTCTTTTCTGTAGAAATGCAGAGAGAAATCTTTTTACCTAAGATTGTACTGAAATATACTGAAAAATAATCACCATAGTGTCTCTGGATTTTCAGTAATATATCTATGCTTGTATCACCATATCTGATGGCAACATCTAACAGCAAATTACAACATTATAGTTCAAATGGAAATGTATCTTTAGTTATAACAAACAGCTGATAAAAACATCCAGTGCCACTTAAAGGTGATATCATACTATATACATCTATTGAATGCTGGTTTGTATTAAATTCCTTATGGAAGTTTTAAGAGCCTCTGAAGAGAAACTTTGTGACTTAAAGAAAGTGTTGTCATACGAATGGTTCTCACGTGCTCAGAACAAAGCTAAAAGACAAGGAAAGAAGGGCAGGAGAAAATGGTCAGATCTCCCACCACTGGGAGGTCACAAGAGCACCTTACCAAGATCCACAGGGGTTTTTACCGTGTTTGTAATTATGTACAAAAGGTGAATTGTATCCTGAAAACACTTCCACCTCAGAGTTCTTAACAACTGAGGCCAGATGTGACAAATTACAGACAGATTTATTAGTTGAGTGATGAAAAAATAACCTTGATACCATTCTTTTGCTCACAGAACAAAGGCAGTATCCCAACAAGACGACTTAAACCAGGCTGGGCAAAACGCTGACATTAATGCAATATTTACTGCAAAAAGCACAGTGGGCAACTGGGTACTGCCAAGAGGTCTTGGATCACTGATCTGTCAAAGCCAGCCCACTTCAGCAATCTGCAATGGCACGTGGCCTTCCAACTGGTGGAAGTCAGGCCGTCCAGAATGAGTTTCCTGATCAGAGCAAAGGTCAGTGTGTGAACATGTTATTAATATGATTACTCTGTCTGTGTGATTAGTGTCTGCCAGTGGCACATATACAGTGTAAACAGCAGAGTACAAACAAATGTAAATACCTTAGAAGTCTCACTAAATGTGCCTGGGCATGGCAATGCTTGAACAGGCAGAGAATGCAGCCAGGACAAAAGGTCCGGTGGAGCAGAAGTCATATTACTTTAGTTTCCATTTCTTTTGTCAGGCTTTATAATTGAGCAATGCTTGCTATTTGCTATCAACAACTTTTTCTTGAGCTGGCATGAGAGACAGCTTGCTAGTATATGTTTTACATGCTGAATTACTGGTAAGCAACTACCCTGGCAAAATATGACAACTCCGGAAGAGTCCATTCTGCCTAAGTTTCAAACATCATTTAAAAATAAAGTTAAAAATTATGTATCTAGCTGAAATGCACAATAGGCTAATCAATGGAGATAGAAGTAATGAGACAAAGTTATTCTTCAGTTGAAACATGGGATGATTTTCTTCTCCAGTATCAGATCCTTCCCTTGAGCTTGAAGCTCTTATTCCAAACCAAAACTGTAACAATTTCATGCAAGAGTGGTTTTTGAGCAAGCACAAGGCAAGAGTGGGAAGAAATAAGGATACAGAAACATAAAAATCCCAGTGAGGTAATAACGAGTATCTAGTGGCTTGTTGAAGTTTTTAATGAACAATCTGTGTATCTGCTAAACATACAAGCTAGGGTAGGGTAGTCCAAATGAGAAAACAGAAAAGGATAAAGATGCCATAATTTATATGGTTGCAGGTATTACAGAGATTGTTTTTCCAATAAACCCATCCATGCTTGTTAATAAGCATTTATATATATATATTCCTTCAGCATAGACACCTTTTTGTTGTATGTGCTCTTCTTTACATAATCTGTAGATTCAAAATCACAGAGAACATTTGGCTAACAAAAGCAACTAACTTGTTTTGAAATCAAAGTATTTTGAAAATGTAGGTTTTTTTCTTACTTTTACTTGATGCTTTAAGACTGAAAGAATGGCATTTTCATCATCATGAGAAAAAACCCCAACACTTTGTCTGTAGGGATACTTCCTTTCTATCAGGCACAACTTAAGTTTGAGAATAATGTTATGAGTAATAGTAACTTCTGAAAACAAAGATTCAGAGTTCCTCTTTTCTCCTCTGAACTCAGAGACTTGTTCGCAGTTGAACTATCACACATTATAAAAAAACCACAACCAGTTTGGGAACTTTGCAGTCTGCAGCTGGAGACAAGACTTGAAAGGTAATTGCTAACTTAGAATAAAAAACTCAAGGCACCTCTAAAGTAGCTTCACAGTGTCATTACTGGTTTCACCTCTTGCATTTTCTGAATAAAACCAAAGCAAAAAAAACCCCACCCCAAATCTGCAACTTTAAGGAATTATTAGGTGACTACTCTTCTACACTTTTTTTTCCCCTTTTCCTCCCTCAAAAGAATCTTACTAGGTTTGCAGTAAAGCAACATAGTATCTTTCAAAGAAGACTTATACAACAGAAGATTGAGGTGAAGTCCTAACCCAGGATTTAAAGTCTGAATAAATGTCTATAGTAAAAACCACAGATTCTAGATAAGTTCATTTAGTGTGTACTCAAACTTCCATCCAAAAAATGAAACAAACAAACACTGCAACCCAAACAAACAAAATTTCAGCTAAAGTCAGGACTTGAACTGAGGGTTTACTATAAATCAGGCAATTTGTTACAGCAAGAAACAATAACACAATTATCTGTTTTTTCAGATACGGTATCAGAAAAAATACACTTGTTTAAAGAAAGAGATTCAATTCCAGTTCCATTTCCCCTACTATTTACAAGCAGCAGTAAGAAAACTTGGAAAAGTACATGCAGGTGTCACAACTCTCAGATACAATAAACAGATAAGACAGTTGAGCTTCTTCTGATACAAATATTTTTAATATTTAGACCATTAAACAAGAAATTGGTACATGCATCCAAAAGTGAAACACAAATGGAATAAAATATAATGACATAAAATAAACCCTATTATTTCTCTGCAGACCTCAATATATATGTTAGTTACTTTTTCTTTGGACATGAAAGGCTTTGGTAAGAGTTCACAGTTCTTTCCTGGAACTCATCTGTAAGATAAAATACAGCTAAGGCTATCTAGGACAAGACAGACTAAAATATCCATTTTCTTTACCTGAGACACCACAAATACTCACCAAGAAGGATTTAAATAGTCTTAGACCTTCATGACATGCTTCAGGTACTAATCCAGAACCAATACAAATCTTACCCAGTAATGTATACTTACTTGGTTTGCTCTTTCCAGAATGTCAATCAGCTCGGACGCAAATCTCCAATCATTGCTCGTGACAAGTGTTACTGCCTCCCCAGAGCGCCTAAACCAGGAAGGAAACAACTGCTGATCTTACAAACAACTCTTGCCAGGCTTTTATACTGACCTAGGCAGTAATGAAGTGTACTACAGGAATATTATTGAGCTGATAGAATAAAAGTGGCTTGAGCATTAACCCTGCACATGACAGAAAGCAACTTTTCATAAAAATCAGCATATAGCAATTCATGTAAAATGCAGCAACTGCACAGCTAATTTAGAATTTTACATAATAAACATAACATAATGACAACATATTTAAGTATGAAGAGACACACATTCATATCATGATTAAATGAGAAAAATCACACTTGTATCAGCCTGGGAAAGCAGTATCCAAAAGAACTACCACTAAATGACACCACCAAGATTGGCTGCAGAATTTGAACCTACAGATGCTTCTTCTCAATGTGGTGTCCAGAAAACTAAACAAATCAGCAGAGCTCATGAAAAGATAAAGGAGGAAGTAACATTCCAGAATATCAATGCAAATGTTTTTTCTAATTTTTCCTCATATTTAAACCAGCTTTCAAACACTCTTAATTCAGTGAAACTTGTTTGCCTTCAATTTAAAGACATAAATCAGTGTGTTTCTAGAACATATTTTGATAGACTGAAGTCTTCATTCCCCACCCCACAGGACCTGTAGCCTCTAGAATTTGACAAGAAAAACACCTGCGCAGTGCATAAAACATAACAAAACACTCATAATACATTACTATTTTCTGGTGAACACTTACCCTGCTCTTCCAGTACGACCTACTCTGTGAACATAT